GACGTACTTCCAATCGCTTCTATACACTGCAGTTGAAATTATACATGTAGCCGATATCTCCTCACGCGTTTTGCACAAAATGAAGGATGCCTTTTTTTGTTGCACAATGAATGGAGTTCAACTTGATGAGAGTCCCTTCAACGTGTATTGGTAAAGAGCTGTGGCCGATGTGAGAGAGACACACAAAAATGTTGCAGTAACAAAACTAAAGAAGCATGAGTAGTACTGAAACAGGAGGCGGAGCCTGAAGAACATGGGTTCTGTTCTTTGGCTCTTCCTAGCATCATCACTCCTACAACGGTAGAAGGACGTCTGGTCCAGGAAAAAAAGCAAGTGGTAGGACGGACGTGGAAAAAAGCCAAGACAGGAAGACAATGAAATTTTGAGTTCAGAGACGAGGTGCCGTCAATTAAAGAGTACATTTGTTTGCGCTTCGTGCTGCATGTATCCTGTTCACATGATAAAGAAAAAAAAATGGACCAGGATGCAGTCGGAAGAGCAGCGGCCACCTCGCCCCGCCGCGATGGTCTAGTGGCTAAGGTACTCGGCTGCTGACCCGCAGGGCGCGGGTTCGAATCCCGGCTGCGGCGGCTGCATTTCCGATGGAGGCGGAAATGTTGTAGGCCCGTGTGCTCAGATTTGGGTGCACGTTAAAGAACCCCAGGTGGTCAAAATTTCCGTAGCCCTCCACTACGGCGTCTCTCATAATCATAGCGTGGTTTTGGGACGTTAAACCCCACAAATCAATCAAATCAGCGGCCACCTCGAAAGAAAAAAATGCAGGAGCTTTAAAGACAGATGTAACAGAGAGCGAGAGAGACAGGTGTTAGGTGTTAGTTCAACTCAATATTTCTTTATCACCATTGCAAACCTTTCAGTCATCTTTTCTTTGTATTGCTGTTCTCGTTGCCTAAGGTCCATTTGAGAACCGATTTGCGAGTGATGGATCTTCAAGCGGTGTTTTAATGTGCGTCGTTGAGCCCTCAGTCTAACAGGTCTGCCATACCACTGTGAACGAGCACCGATTTTTTATCGCAGGTCAAATGGAAGCACACAGCTAACGAGCCCCAGCCAACCACACTGATGGTTCTCGCTGACTGTCGTACAAGTCAAGAAATCCTCAGGAATCTACTGCTGTGCGTTGACCAGTTCCCCGATCAAGAGTGCTGTTTTTTTGTTTCGCTTCCCAGCTTTCGTAATGACCCCGGTAACAAACGAGTCTCTTCGCATCGAGAGCGATTTGACAACGCTTCAGTGAGACCGAAACATTAGGAAAAAAGTGATGTAGTGACTGCGTGTTGTGACATTGTAGACGTTAAGTGATTAATGACTAGTCGTCACGTACGTAACTCTGGGGTGTTTATTTGTTGTGAAGTTAAAATGAGAATTCACGTACAGATACAGAATCGCCGAAAAGTTCACCGTAATTGTTATTTGATGAGCAACATTTACTAGGGCGAATAGTGACAGCTACTATCCGAAGTTGCTAACACCCCGTCAAGAAGAAAAAATGGAAATACATGAAAAGCAAACTATTTCACGATCCGCGGATACGTAAGTGATTACCAATGCCCTTTTACTGATCTCATTCATCCTGCTGCTTCAAAACTTCTTTCATGGCTTTGTACAAGTACGCACGTATATACTGCATATTATGTTTTGAAAAGTTGAGAGCAAAAACTCGAACAGCCTTTCATTGGTACTTTCGAGTGGTACGTTGGCCCCAACAGACTGAGCCGAATTTCAAAATGTCGATAAGGCAGAAATAGAGCTTGAAATTTGGACACTTTCTGCTGCAACATGCATAGTTACAGGAGGTTGAAAAACTGTGGGATTAAGTACTCGGAGAGGATAAGCCTTAGGAGAGAAAGTAAGCCAGTTTCATTATACTATGGCCGCACTAGAATTTGTTAGATGTGATGAAAGCTCTGTACTAATGCTCATTCGTTGAATTAGTTGTTATCTGCTGTAGCTTTCGGGCATGAAGAAATGGCATTCACTGAGAATCCAAAAAAAAAAGAAGCACAGAGTTTAAACTGCAAGTTCAGTATGCAGTCAGCAAAGCTGCAAACAATACCTTTAGATGCGAAGCAGCTTTTTTGAATAGTCTGTTTAACGCTGTCCCTCCGTCCCCACCACTTCTCTCGCGGCAGGTGCTGGAGCGGTACGAAGTAGCCCACATCTCCTTGCAGTGTGCGGTGACTCTCTCTCTCGCCTGTCACACGCTTGCCGCGTGTCAGCTCTCTCTCGAGTCACCCTCTCCAGTGCTCGCAACGCTAGAGCCCACTCCTCACGTGAGCATCATCTCACCTGCGCCACCTCTTTTCATATGTCGGCGAGAAGAAGCCGCGAGCTGGCGGGTGCTTGCGCGGCGCCGACGATAGACAGCTTTAGTATACCGGGCTTACCGGGATACCGGGCGTACCGTGATAGCGGAATCGAAGTGCGCATGCGCAGATACGTACGTTACCCGTACCGCTTACCATACGCGCGGTATTTCTCAGATTTAAGGTTATGGTGGTAGCGTAAGTGTAAGATGCGGCGGAGTTGACGTACTTAGGACGCCGAAGCAAAATGTGTCTATACAGATGTGCTTCCTTAAGTGCGGCTCTCGACCCGAATACCCTGAAACATTGAATACCATGATAACCTGAACAGGTGCTTATAATATACCGCTTACAAACTAAGCCGTTTCAGGCACCACAGCAGGTTGTAAAGGCAGTAATTTGTCTTTGTTTTAAAATTTAATTGTCCATCATTTATCCTTGATATTATTTTAGGAGTTTTATATTCAATTGAACGGCGTTTCTGCAATGTGGCTGGTTGAAGAAGAGACTCCTATGGGGTCTAATCTATAAACAATAGAGCAGAAAACTATAGCAAACATTTTTCTGCTTAAGCTGTTTTTTTTTTTTCAATGCAAAAAGAAACGCATAATATTATACGAAAGCACTGAGTCAACCGTAGACGCTGATACAACAAGTGTTGTGTGTGTACGCAAAAACATTGACCCATTTACATCCAGTTCACTTGTAAGCTCGGTTCACTAGCCTCTCAAAAGTTCAATATAATATAAAGGCGTACTGACACGAAAATTTTCAGATGCTTTTTTTTTCTGCGTCCAATAAAAGGCGAAGCCTTCAAGAGCCTAGAAAATGTTCTGCGAATCATGAGTGCATCCTAGAAAAGTAAAACAGAATTTTTTAAAAGCTAGTTTCGGTTTCTACTGTACCCTGACGTCGCTACACGGCATAAGCTTTTTGTCACGTGCTCTGCCAAAGTGTCGTGACGTTTCCACAGAAGTTCCACACCGTGGCTCCGTAAGTGACGCAGAAGCGACCATTTTTGATTGTTTTGGTGACGCACGAGCGGCCATCCAAGAAGTTTTGGCACCTGACGTCATCACAATTACCCAGACTGCTGTGTGAAGTCACCAAAATTAGTTCTGTAGCCTGACGTCGTTATTGCCAATGTTGGTGGGGGCTCCATGTGAAAAATGACTTGAATATCAAAATAAAATGCCCTATATGCATTTGCTGAGCTTTAACTTTGTTCAGAGCCGTCTCTACATAAGGAATATTTGTATAGCAGAATAACCTCACTTCCTAAAAATGTTGTCAGTACCGCTTTGCTGCAAAAAGCTCCCGTAGAATAATGAATTTTATGTTAGTCACGCGGGGATCAAATATAAAATCTGTATTGCGAGTTAACGTTAAGCACATCTTCAATAACCCATTCATGAAAGAAAAAGGCAACTCCCGGCACAGGTCGGCTCCTCTTTACGCTCGAGTTGCACTAAATGAGCAAGAAAAGCAATGTGCTAAGGCGGTGGTATTTCGAAATCCACACTTTCACAGATGTATAGGCTCTGCAGCGAGCACTGCTTCTCCATTCAACTAACGAGATGCGCTAGAGCGACAGAAATAGAGGGATAAAAAAGACGAATCCACGCAATAATCCTTGAACTGCGCAGTCAGGAGGCCGGCCAACAGAATGGACCCAACGCCTTTATCTTGACTTTAGGTGTTTGCATTTCACTCGCATGGGTGAAGGGATCAACAACACAGCGCAAGAGGAGCATCACTGATTGAGGAAAAGGTACGAGCATTGGTGGCTCATTGCTGATTATATTTTTCTGGACAGATAAGCTGAAAATTATGGCAGGGGCAGGGCGTATAATGACGCAGAACAGGCCACCGCCAAACAGCGCGTGAAATAAGCAACGCTCACGGTAAATTCTTTGCGCAGGTATTTGGTTTTGTGGAGATACCGGCTGGCTATAGCAAAGCAGTAGAAGTAGCTCGATAAGCTAAACATTAACACTCACCAAAGATATCAAATACTGATATTATTGTATACGATGCCGTTATCACTGTGTGATAAGGCTTATAGCCATGCTTAACATCTTCATTCCACCTTGGCATGCGTATGATCTAGGAAACGTCATCGATTAGCTACAACAAAAATCGTGAGCATTATCTTCACGTAGATGATGGGGTGTGACACGAAGAAAGTGTAGTAAACTTTTTCTAAATTATAGCGGACAAAAGCAGCCTTTTGTCGACTATTCCCGTTTACACCCGGAAGTGTGCAAACAGGTGTTCGGCCAAGTTTTAGTGGTGTTGCGTATGCAATTGTAATTTTTGTCCTGTTAATGTACTTTTTGAGATCTTTTGAAGCACTCTTGTCTTCTTCTCACCCAAAATTGTCATTACTTAATCAATGAGTGGCAACTGTAGGCAATAAATTACGGACGATCGGCAGTTTTCATTCGCTCCTGAAAGCTCTATCTCTATCAAAAATGTATTGTACTTTATAACATTTCGACATCAAAGTTTATTATGTGTTTTGTGCGTTAGCTTCGGGGTGGGAAGATCAATACATCGGGATAATACGAGCTGACATTTCCTCAGCTGTTTGCTCTCATGTTGGTATGTATTTTTATTATTCGATTCCCATAGCGTGAAAAAACTTGCATGTGGCGATGGGGCGAGACTTACGTGGTTGGTAGTCTGGAGAATCGGTGTCGGTAATCTTCTGGAGCACGCGAAAAGATCGCGACTGCACGAAGTCACCGGGGTCCGAAGCGCGCTGTCCTGGCGCCGGTGGACGGGGCAGAGAGTGCGTCCGGTTGGGGTCCACGTAACGGTCTTGCGGCTGTGTCCCATCCAAGTTCAATCTGCAAGAAGCGTGCGAATCGTGTAAGATGAAGAGAAGGGGTCACAGTAAAGTGGGAAGAAAAGAATACACGTACGAAATTCCTAACCTAAAAGTCAAATGGTTCCTTGTACATTCGGCTAAGACGAATCAAAGAAGATGATGATGATAGTGTTTTTTCACATATGGCTCGTACCAACAATGAGGGACTGGTGAACACTTTCTCTTTTTCTCCACAGCCCATTGTAGTAATTTATTCCCCTGCGTAATTGTGTGCCACAGATTTGTTCGTTTGTAGCCTGGATACCGTGGCACATAGCCACTCTAGGGGATTGGTCAAGAAAACATACAGTAGCCTATGGATGGTCACTGCACTGTTGCTTACCAATAAAAATAAGAAATATTAGAAAACTAAAGAGCAAGAAAGTGAAAAACAAAAAAAAAGAAATAACTGATATTACATCAACAATATTCTGATTCCAGGCTCTACTTCTTCTGCTTGATCCCCCTTCCTCCAAAAGAATTCTGCCCTTAACATGCACTGCCTAGCGGATCCCAGGCACCGCAGCTTTCTGCTCGCCACGTGATTTTTCAGCCCTCCATCAGAAATCAGCCCATGTTTGACCGAGCGACGAGGTGGTGTGGTGACGTCGGCTCGAGACGGCATGTTATATGATGTCATGGTGACGTAACAACTTTTGGTGAGCTATGACGTAACTGCATAATGATTTTTTTTTCTCATCAGCTCTTGTTGACGCAAACCCCACCAATGCCACTGATGGTCACTTTCCAGGTTCAATGAAGTGTCTCAGGTTTTTGTCCTAATAGCGTTTTTGGAATGAACAGGATATATATAGTGTTCTGGCGCTGTTCGAAGGCGCACCAGATATACTGCGCATTGCTAACTACAAAATACATACTACAAATGTAATGTGGTGCAAACTGATTTTTTACCTATAATTAACACCATCATATTGCGCGTATAAACAATCACGTCACTGGCCAGTAAGATGCCGGAATCATTAAATGCGGGGCAACACTGGCAAGAAGCATGGCAATGGAAAATATGCCAGCCATACAATCCAGCAGTGAAACAAAAAAAACTATAGTGAAAGAACTCACTGTACTACGGAAACATTCTGCAGCCAGTTTTTCCCACTTTTTTTATTAAAACCTTCAGAAACTGCATTAGACTCGTCAATTAAAATATCCCCCACCCCTTACTTAGAGATTAAGATGACAGATACATCCGGATTCTCACATCAAAGTAGTCAAAGACACACCCCGCGCTTTTAACGTGTCTTGATAATGGCGAACAATTGTTGGTTCGTAGCGCCGCCACCGCTGAAATCTTGCCCTGTACAGTGCACTCTTGCTCCCAATACACCGTCACCGCAGAGCACGCGCAGACTACGGGGACAAAGAGAGAAGAACACAACTCAAACGCGTGTGTCCTGTTCTCTCTTTGTCCCCATCGCCAATGGCCGCTCTCAGGTAACGATGAGTACATGCCAACTCGTCCAGTTTTCTGCTTTGTTGCTCAATAACAGTACCATATTCAGAACAGTACCATATTTTTGTTGCAATTCGATTTTGCTTTGTTATTGCGGTCTTGCGTTTCGCTCTAGGGGCTGCTCAATGTGAAGTGTTTTCTTCGTGAAATATTTTGTTCTAACAGGCTTGCAATGAAGGCATTGATGTATATGTCACTTCGGCTACTCCGGTCCTCTAAGTTCGACAGCGAAAAAGAGAAGTGGTTACCCAAAAACAAAAAATGAACAAGTAAAGAAAATCATACAGCAAGCAAAGAATTTTTTTAAATGACGTTACAATTTACAGTTCGCTTACAGGAGTTCTCTTAGCAATAAAACGTTCCCAGGCACACATTTTTGAGCCAGCTGTAACCGCACTACGGGGAATAACACATTACTTCGTGTATAGGTACGTATACCAGCTCATCTCAATTGCTTAATGCGTCCAATGCCCACTAAGAGGTCTTTTAGGAGGCTGAAGCCTTGTGCTGAAAATGCTCTTCAGGTCACGCTTTACGCAGTTCTCATAATCAAGGAAGCACCTGTGCAAACTTGTTTTTTTTTACTTTTTTATTTCCCTCTCTTGCTTTAGTCATTTCAAAACAACATAGCCAACATTGTAATATGACCCCAGCAGCATTCGAGCGAATTGTATCATTCTATCTTGTGCAGAAAACTGCATGCGTACCCTACTTCTAGTCAAAGCTTGGGAAATAAAGCCTCCATGTGTTGACGGAGATCTGCCGCTATGAAGAATTGGCTTTGGATATAGGCTTCACATAGCAACAACTGTTTTATTTGGTAATATCAAACCATATCTTCATACAACATGGGTTCTATATTTGTGTTTTATATTTTCCATATTCACCTTGTAGACACAGGGATAACGCAATCTCATCCTCCATTTTGCGTTTTGTGATCAGTTGATGCGCTTTAAATAAGGGCGCATGGAACGACCCAATAGTTATAGATTTTGCTGCAAGACTTTGGTACCTTCATAGAGCCAACAATGTCTTCCACCTCCTTAAAACGTGGTCTTTGGCCCCTTTATGACTTCATTGTTTAGTAAAGCGCCAAAATAGTGGTCGAACATTATTATAAAACTGATGCACTTTCCAGGACTCCTTAAAAGTCCTCCGCTCACGAACGCATTTACCAACCTCAGCAACCCCACTGGGCTACACGGATACGTGATGAATTGTTCTGCATGCATAAAGACGGTGAATGTTGCAAATGTTAGCGAGCTGAAAGTGAGACACACCCACCGTTCCTCCAAAACTCGGATGTCATCGAAGTTTGCGGTAAGCATATAGGCGCTCCTTCTCTCTTTCTATATATATATATATATATATATATATATATATATATATATATATATATATATATATATATATATATATATATATATATATATATAGTGGGAGTAATAATTCAATGGGCCAGTTAGGAGTCGTGAGGGTATGGGATATGGCACAACGGGAGCGTTGTCAACAAGGATAAATATATTTATTTCCCAACAGTTTCGGGAGGGGTCCTCCCTTCAACAGGAGATGAGTACCTTTTATTTTCTGCACACAGGTCACACAACGCATTTCCGAGTAGTGGCTCACTATCTGTTTTCAACAATGCATTCTTAATAATTTGTCGCGCGCCTTTTTATCCCCAAGAAAAAAAGTCTTATGGTTATAACTCATCCCCTGATGAAGGGAGGACCCCTCCCGAAACTGTTGGGAAATAAATATATTTATCCTTGTTGACAACGCTCCCGTTGTGCCATATCCCATACCTTCATATATATATATATATATATTGTGTGTGTGTGTGCGTCACGCAGCTGGGCGTTCTACTCTATCCTATTAATGACTGCACTCAGTTCACGTTTGAATACTACTTGGGGCTGCTATCGAATTTAATGACCTACTTTCCGAAATATTACGTTAGGCACTGATGCTTACCCAATTTCTCTGGGCAAAATTAGGGCAGAAAAATAAAAGCAACACGAAAACGCACTCGTACCATTCGCATAGAGCCTGAGGCGAAAGCATTAAGACACCAACGAAGAGCCATTTAGTGCTCCATTGACCGTAAACATTGTGCACGGCGTTTCCTTTAATGTGCAGTAGGTCGTTGAACAAGGCGAAAACACACTGTGCCACATTGGGTACGTGCACAAGGTCAGTCATGGTTGAACGCACACACCTGTGCACCCTTTTACGGTAGCGTGGCCAAAGATGTCACGATAAGAAGAGTGGTGCGGTGACGAAAGTGGGGTTTCACTGCGTTTACAATGATGCGCCAATGGAACAATAGAGTGAGTACAAATTTGTAAAAGCAGGTCGTATCCGGTAGTTTTCCTCAAGTTATTTGCTATGCGTGTACCTCGGGTGGTTGTAACGTTTGTGCTTTGCGACTTGTAGGGAAGTTGGGAATGGCAGCGATGACAACATCGCCCATCTTACTCGTGAAAAAGAAAAAAAAAAGCCGGGAGACGCTTTCTGAAGTTCCTCGAGTGGTTCCAGTATCCCTATAGGAATGGTCCCGTTAAGATTCTAAACTCACTGATGAAGAAAAAATATAGACGTACAGAATTACAGGGCTGCGCCTGAGGGGGAGGGGTGAAATTCCTTTTTTTTTTTTTTGAAGAGGTGACGAAGTATTCAACTATTTTTTTGAGACAACAACTTCTTTTTCAATCGGTATTGTATGGTACGCCTTGAGCTCACCCTTCCATTTGGCGACTAGGTGGATCTCCCCATCCTTCGCCTTGCGCGGCGGCTGCTTCCTGGCGAGCGTTGATGCGCCTCTGGATGCGCGGAGACTTGATCTCCGACAGGTCCAAACCTGCGCGTAAAAGAAGGAGCCACGACGCAGACAAGAATTATCGACGCTCATGCACGTCATCAGAAGCCTTGTGTAAACGCATGCTCTGTAAACTGTAAGGGGGCTTTGACGAAGAAAGGAAGAAGTACAGGAGCAGAGGTGGGAAGGGGGGGGGGGGGGGAGGGGTAGTGGTATAGTTGACGCATGTCTGAGTGAAAAAAGTGTGGAATGATGGGAACTCAACCAGAACAAGAACGCAAGTGCTGGAATATAGGTGGATTGAAGTGCGTGTTTGTTGAATAGTCGTACCTCATGTACAGCTTTTCTCGATTATACGTTAGCCTTGAAGAGCATCACAGAAAGCAGAAAAAAATACAGAAAAGGACAGAAAACGGTGAAGAGACCTCAGCAGTATACGTTGATCAGGTAGGCGGAGCACACACTACTGAAAAAAACTATGAATTGCTGAGATATGAGTGTGGTTGCACATGTGTGGCCGCACCTATTCAGTCTTTAGCAGCCCGATCGCAGCCATATAAAAGAGCTGACGGAGCCCGCGTTATAGGTTTCATCGGGTTTTTCCGGTCTATTGAGTTATCACAGCCGTTAGAGCTTCCTATATTGGTTCGAGGAAACCTTCGAGAGACATTGCTTAAAGCACTGCGTTGTGTGCATCCTTACGCAGACGCAGCAGGAAAAACAGAAAAGAGGGAGGAAGGAGGAGAAACGATTCAGCTAGGTGGTTCGACTGTATGAGAATCCTTTGATACAGGCCCCTCTGTACAGGTATGAGAATCCTCCACAAACATCGATGTGATGCCTGAGGAAAGCTGTGTCGGGGAAGAAGCTCGGAAACCCCACGAACGCGCAGCAGATTGAGTATGTCTTACTCAACGGCGTTCAGTTATCATGGCCAATAAGAATCGGTTATCACAATACAGGTCGCATAACTATGTGTCGTTAAAACAATACAAATGATTTTATATAAACAGAGGTGGACCTGTAAAGCCCTATTATACGTGGAATAAAAAATCCAATAGTTTATTTCAAATTTGGAGACAATTCCAGCTGAGTGATGGATGTAGAAATTATAGGTAGCATAAAGAGCAATAATAATGATAAGTTAGTGTGTTCTGTGAGTGTTCTATATTCAAGAGAGAAGGGGAAAAACTGTCATAAGTAAACAGGCCAACCTACAGATATAATCAGGGTAATAGCAGTTAGGACTAGTGCTCGTAACAAATATGTTACTTTAGAACAGTAATGTGGATTGACATGTATGTATTGAATGAGACCATTGATATATTGTTTGTAAAGCAGTTGCAGAGAGATGATTGATTGATATGTGGGGCTTAAAGTCCCGAAATCACCGTATGATTATGAGAGACGCCGTAGTGGAGGGCTCGGGAAAGTTCGAAAACCTGCAGGGTTCTTTAACGTGCGCCCAAATCTGAGCACATGGGCCTACAACATTTCCGCCTCCGTCGGAAATGCAGCCGCCGTAGCCGGGATTCGATCCAGCTACCTGCGAGTCAGCAGCCGAGTACCTCAGCCACTAGACCATCACGGCGGGGCAGTTGCAGAGAGAGGTGAAGGACTTAGACCGACGAGTATGTAAGATAAGCTCTCCCGTGCAAAAAAGCGCTAATAAAGAAATGGCAAATCATAAAATTGTCAATCTCAAGCAATCAAATTCACTGAAGTCGCTGAAACGTAAGCCTATTCTACACAATAATGTAGAAAAATGGAGCAAGCTTCAAAATAGGTGCCACGAAGTCAGTGAGAAGAATTTGGGATGAGCGAGTAACACTCATCGGTAGTGGAAGATAATGATATATGGGGTTTAACGCCTCAAAACCACCATATGAATATGAGAGACGCCGTAGTGGAGGACTCCGAAAATTTTGACCACTTGGGGTTCTTTCACGTGCACCTAAATCTCAGCACACGGGCCTACAGCATTTTCGCCTCCACCGAAAATGCAGTCGCCGCATCCGGGATCCGATCCCCTGAACTGCGGGTCAGCAGCCGAGTACCTTCGCCACTAGACCACCGCGGCGGAGGGTAGTGGAAGATCACTGGGACCTTTGTTGTACAGTGAAAACAGATATATTCTGGTGGCGATGATGTTATGAGCACTGATTCCCTTAGCGTGGTTAGAGTGTCAAACTGTCATAGTAATGTTCGCATTTACTTGTTAGTTATCACATATGCACTCAAAATGTATGACCGAGTAGTCTCTGGGGTTTAAGCGATTGAACCTATATTCTTTAGAAAAGCATGGTACCGGTAATCAGACCTTCCCTAGTTCTTTGCAATTTATCAACCCTCCGACAGCTTTATACCTCCCCCCTATACTCCAGGTATGAGTACTGCACAGGTTAAACCTGATTGAAAGAGTAACATGTTCTCATATGCATTTCTAAGACAACAGGAAGGCGAAAGCCTTTTTTTTTTCATCACCTCAGATTATGTAGCTCTCACCCGAAGGCTTTGAACTCCCAACGTGATTTTTGCTGGCATCAAAATCGGAAGAATCGGAAGGTTTCTACATCACTCGTGGTTTTGCAGCGCCTTGTCGATCGGCCTACTGTGATCTAGCTGCAATCTCGCGTGATGAAACCAACACGTGATGCCCCTAATATCACGTAATAGTGATGTCACGGGACTTCACTGTGATGCCACACACTTTCTGTGCCTTGGCTGTGACGTCATGACGATGTCATAGGATGACTTCGTCACATTATATTTCATCACTTGTGTTGGCGTCGCCAACACTGACGGTAATTTTTCGCGTTTTATGAAGTAAATAAGCTTTTCTAATTATATTACACTCGCCAATGGCTTGTGGCCACAAATCACGTCTGACACAATGGAACGATCTTTCAGTAACACGTGTTGGAAGACGAAGTCTCAAACTTATTGAGCGTGTATGTACGCGCATGAATCTTGTGTCTTGCCTCGCCCCACAACGCACTCACCACCGGGGGTATAAGTAAAAGGCTTCTTGTCCTTGCTGTTGAGAGTGCCAACCAGCTGGGGAGGCAGGTAGCAGAATGGTTGGGTGCCGTCCTGGGGTCCTTGGGCCGCAATTTGGGCAGGATCGTAGCCGGATCCCGATTGCCTCTGTGCGGCTTTCTCAGCCTCCTGTTAAAGTGATAGTGGATGTCAGATAATAGGTGCTGACACAAACAAAACAAAGTGACGTGGTACTGTAATCAGTGCTGCAGCTGTGAACTTGCAACCTTGAGAGTTTGTTCAATGAGGTACAGTGTGTACAGAAACTGCCAGTTTAGAACCTTTGGCTCTATCATGACGCTGTCGTATTTCAATGAAGCAAAAGTTAATTTCAGAACCTTTTTCACTTATATTTCCGTCATCAATGCTCCCCACAAAGGAAGCTTCTCTCAACTATTAGCAACTGAGCTGTCATTTCGATGATGCCTCTACTAACAAGAAAAATGCTCAAATATTGTAGTAATAAACAAATGCTGTGGCAGATTAGTCACGAAGTAAAACATTTGAGCACATATACAATTGTTCCCCTGATACCTGTATAAATTTCCCAAAAACTGAGTGTTTACGCAAAATATTGAAATTCAACATCTTTGCGTCAAAAATTCAGTATCTACAAAAGCGTATGCCCGCAGAAGCAGATAGACAGAATGAAATTTTATTTTAAAATGTAAATTCAAAACAAGCCCGACATTACTGTCAGGAAAATGTTCTCATCATGAGAACGTGTTGTAGAACTTAAGCGAAAGGTATTCTAGCAACGAGACAAGAGAAGGTCGGGAAAGCTCGGTGAAAGTAGCGAGACGAAGGAGTTTCGCATGAAACTCCTGGGATAATTGGAATGAAAAGTAACGACTAACGTGAAACCTCACGTTACCGAAAATCATAACGTAAGTACGTTATTGGTTACAGTTCCGAAAAGGTAATGAGTGCGTTACTAAGTTACGAAAAAAGTCATGCATTACCAGTAACTTCATTGTTTGTAACGCGTTAACGGCCACACTGGGTATAAATACATTGAAGCACGAGGGCCTCTTAAAAGGATATCCAATTTAGTCGGTTTTGCGCAAGCTGGTTTCATTTTATTCCTGCGAAGCTATTGTGGCAGGTATTCAAGAAGTTCGGTCAGCAATATGTGTGACTATGTATACGTCTATCTCGCGCTTGGCTTTCATCGTTGTAAACGGTGGTATGAGACGAGCACGAACGCGCAAGCACGGCATTACGAAAGGCTACAGATAAAGCATCAATCAATGAGAACAAAGAGACGCTAAGTGATCCAGAGCAACTTATAGGCAGCCGTATAACGAGGCGTATTTGTCTCCGACGCACAGAGCGTCTTCATTTATTACTAATCCCTAAGAGGAAAACAAATCATGTCTCAGATTGTAAAATCATTGTACTGTTTTTAGTGCAAACACATCCATTGCTAGCCTCCGCAGAATTGCACCTGATTCATGAAACGGAGTAAAGTATATGGGAACAAAATCAGTGGAGGAATTGCGCAGTCGCGTGTCGAAGCCTTTTTTATTATACTGACCTGCTTTTGCCTCCAGGTGGGTCCACCACCAGACGGCGGTGGGGGTGGCGGTGGTGGAGGGGGCGGTGGTGGTCCACCCGGACCACCTCCTCCACCTTGAACTGGAGGAAGAGGCGGTGGTGGCGGTGGCGCAGGGCCCTGTTGCGAAAAAGGTGGTGGGGGAGGAGGGGGCGGCGTGGGCGGCTCCTGTTGGAATGGTCCGCCGCTGCCATAACCACCTGGCACCGGGGATGACGACGCGATGGGCGGAGGAGGCGGAGGATACGAGTACGACTGATCTTCGTAGCCCCCGGTGGCGCTCGTCGGTGAGGACACCATGCCTCCGAGGGACTGTGTCGGGGGTGGCGGTATGTAAAAGGCTCCGGGGCTGCGGCCACCGCCAGAAACAGAAGGCGAAGCACTGCCTGCACGACCCCCGGGAGGTGGCGGCGGAGGTATTTGAAAGGTGTTGGGACTGTAGCCGCCACTTGAAGGTGCCGACCTCCCCTGTCCAGCTGGTGGAGGTGGTGGTATTCCGAACGTATTTTGTGTGCGCGGGGAAGTGGTTCCTGATGAAGGAGGTGGCGGAATGGGAAACTTGGGTCCGCTTGACGTGAAGCGGCCGTTGGGCGACGCCGACATTTGACCTGCGGATGGCGGTTGACTTCCGCCTTGCATAGGGAACAATGCACCCGTGCTGCAATACACTGGCGCATCTGGAGTTTCCGGTGCTGGCGGCCATGATGGAGCTGACCACTGCGGACTGGTGGGCGTGCGATTAGAGGTGAAGGCCATCCTGTTGGGGTCACTCAAGCCGCCGGGAGTCATGGGCATGTTGTGGCCGAATGGTCCACCTTGTTGCTGCCTGCGGATAGAACAGCGGCATTAAATGTCGTTACTCAAATGGCGCATAGACTGATAGGGGCGTTTAAGAATCGGACATTATACTTTGACAGTAAAAATGGTGCTGAATTGCTGATCGCAATGCCTGTGGGCGATGGAGACCTAAATAAACAGTAGTGGCATAGTAGGTATTATCACTGGAGGCCTTTAAGCAAAAAAGTAAAAATGCACACCAAACGCATATTACTATACTTTATACATATATAGTGTACTTTTTGCTTTACTTTTTTTTCAGTTTTCCACGAGTAATCTTCGCCAGCCTAGTTCTGAATGAAGCGTGCGGTTGTGAGGTAAAATGGGAACAGAGTTGTTTCACAGCCTGTAACAGCTCAACTTTAATGTAGACCTTTCTCTCATCTCATCGATCGTGCCCCGCTGCGGTCGTCTAGTAGCTAAACTAGTCGGCTGCTGACCCACAGGATGCGGGATTGAATACCGGCTGCGGCGGCTTCATTTTTGATGAAGGCGAAAATGCTCTAGGCCACGATTGCTCAGATATGGGTGCACGTTAAAGAACCCCATGTGGTCGAAATTTCTGGAGTCCTCCCCTACAGCGTCTCTCATAATCATATGATGGTTTTTGGAATGTTAAAGCCCGTTCACATATCAATCAAATCAATCAATCATCCCTTCCATCGTGCTAGAAGTTACACAGAGAGGATGGCACGGGGAAAAGAAGCTTAGCGTCAGCGCGCGTCATCACCTCGAGTGCACGTCATCAGTGCGCGTCATCTCTCCCCCCTTGTGATTCCCTGCGCGTGTCTGGCTGATCGTGCAATGATAGCAGACTATGGCGTGCCGGCGCATGGCGGCCCCCCATATAAAAATTCGCATCTGACCTATTCAACCTATGAATCTATTTGGGCTATTGGCCGATAGCATGCTATGTGCCATTCGACGTTAAACAGCAGGACGCCGACATCTCTGAAGGTAATGAGCACAGGCCTCTGTATGAAAAGAGGGCGTTTGAGAAAATGACAACTTCACGCTTCACCTCAAACCTTTCTTTGCCACGCAAAAGTGCAAGATTTTGCTGAGGTGTTCAAAGCAGTGTCTGCTACCATTATGCCCGTGGGGCATAATGATAGCAGACACTGCTAATATTATGCTTATGTCTCCTTTAACGCACTTAAGACACGCAATGAAATGAATAAAAATACAACCAACAGTGGGTATTTATAAGCACCTTCAATACAGAACTGTCTATCACTTCGACTTGTGTTTTGTTTTCAAGGTATAATTTCATTTGGTTCAAGTAATTTATTTAATTTATTTAAAGACCTGTGTGATGTGCAGCAAGATACCGATAGTGTGGATATTTCACGTCTCTGTCTCTCACGTCTATGCATGCCTCGTGAATTTGTACGTCAAACAAGTCAGATGTTCACGCGAAGGTGACTGCTTGAAGCAACGCATTATTGGTGGATTAGGTAAAACAGACATTTGGATTAGTTTGCACATGATTGATGGAAAAGGCACACTCACTGACACGGGCTACAGAAACAGGTGCACCTGCAGGTGTGTCTTTTTTCTAAGTTCATGTCTGTGAGTGTGCCTTTTCTACCAAGTCGATTAATACGATCGACGCTTGTTCCTCCGCCTCTAGAAAACTAGGGTTTCTTAGACACAAACTAATAAACGCGCCAACTCAGATCAAACTTCTTGCAAATAATACATTTATTCGACCCCGTCTAGAGTACGCATGCGTAGCCTGGGACGCGTATTTTAAAAACGATGTTTATAAACTTTAAATGGTCCAGAGGAGAGCGGTAAGATTCATCTATAATGCCTATCACAATTTTGATTCACCTTCATCACTTATGGCTACTAACAACATTCCGCTCTTGAAACAGCGTAGAACTATCGCCAGACACAAGTTTCTTTTCCTGCTTCGTAATCATCAGTTTAATATCGATCCCAGTAAATACATCTCTCCCTCTTCTTCCAGGAAAACCAGGCATGCTCACAATCATGATCTGACACCTTACTTTGCACGTACTAACCTTTTCAAACATTCCTTCTTTCCGAGAACCATTAGCGAATAGAATGCACTGCCTTCAAATGTTTTTTTCTGAACGTGGCATTCCCGACTTTGAAAACTACATGCATCTTTTTGTGTAATCAACACTGTTCATATTTCAATGCTATATTACCTCATCTTATTATTTCAACTGTGTAGCTTTACTTTTTTGTGCTTGAAACTGTTTCTGGAAGTTTCTTCGCTTTTTTTTTCTAGATATGTATAACTAAGCATCCTATTTAGTATGACTTGTTTTTCAGTAGCTTTGTGTATTCCAACTTGCTGTATAACTTGTTCGCTTTTTTCGCTATGCTTCATTTTTGTGCCCCTCCTGCTTGGTCTACGGACTGCAGTATGTAATAAATAAATAAATAAATGAAAATAAATAAAGCAATGTAACCGGAACCAACGTTTTGACAGGAGCATTAGTCTTAATCAAGACACTTTGAACTTATCAACGTTATAAGCTTTATTTATTACCTACCATCGTCGCACTAGCTCAAACTGAGTAGATCACACATATAACCATGGTATGCGCGATTGTATCTAAAGCGCATTCCATAGCCATGTTACCAAGGGTTATCTCACAAAAGCAACATTAACTTTAAGAGGCTTCCTAGATTTCAGCTCGTGCTGTTCTATTCTCTATCAAAACGATCGACAGAGTTTTCATTTGTTTATCCACTGCAATGAACGAGAAAGGGTAAGCGGTTATTGCGTCCACGTACATGTGCTTTTCTCTTTATTTTTTTTCTGGAAAAGTATATACACCTATTTGGCGTTCTCCAAATACGTGGTCGTTCCCCGACACACGCTGATGACAGGCAGAACGATAGGTGCATGACGTACAAATTAATCAGGAGGGTCCGTTCAGCTCCGAAGCTTTGTTAGTGCTGCCGTCGAACGCATAACGCAAGCGCTGCTGCACAAGCGCACAAGTACCATCTTGTAGCTCGCAAAACAAGCCACGCGGCGAGCGCCCGCCGAAAACGTGTGCAATGGCCGATACACAAGACGAACAGAGTGATGACTGCGCACGCAGTGCGTATGCAGCGTGAGCCAGATGCGCGCATTTATAGACGTCGCTTGTTTGGCGCACAGGGGCCGGGCCACTGGGTTAACGCTTGCACTTATTCTTCGCTTTCGTTTTTGTTAAGCGAATTCTGGAACTGAACCGAGGGACTTGGAGTTCGCTCAAAGCAGCTCTAGAAGAGGCACAACCAGTGTTAGCGTCCACAGCTTGGAACTTGGGCGCGGTTATAAAAATAGCGGGCCACCCTAACGGAGGACTGTTGGTTCCTGAAGAGGCCTGGCACGATAAGTGAACTGCACCGGTGCCATTGCACGCCTCAACAACGCACCGCCCCACCCCTTAGAGAAGGGCAGATAAGACGTCTCGAGCTTACCATGCTTCAACGTTGTTGTACTCATTTCCTTGACTGATCTCGTTGAAGTTTCCCATTGATCATGCTACCATATTCCGCGGGCATAGGTTCAAGGTCACCGCATCCTCATTGCTTTACGATTTGACTACGTGATTTTATATATATTTTCAGATTATACAAATCGACGGAGACATCACACGGAATTTTATTGAAAGCAGTAGGATAGGTATTCAAACGTCCTAGAAGCATTCCCTACTGCTCGCAAGCAATGCGCTCTCGTTAGGTCGAGGTAGGCAAGATATGAACCTGTGTTTCAAACATTCGAAACGAGCGCCACTACTGCATACCACCAAACTGCTGTTCTACACATGAGCAGGGACGCATTACATCATGGTTTCAGGCTACTGCGAGGCAAATTGTGTTCTTCAAAACCACTTACCCAACACGCGCATTTTGACGCAGGCAGATTTTTATATCAAGATGCCGAACAGCGCCAAAAGGAAACATAAGAGCTCGTGTTTGAAGGGAAGGGGGCCAGAGTATCAAGTAGTGCAAATACTATACGTCACTGCAGAAACTCTACTGAACATTGCACTCGGCCTTCTTTCCGATGGCTTCCCTTGAGAATATGTGCCAAACAGGTGACATAAATTGTGCAATTTGCTGTCTCTTGACAACCAATGCTGCGGCGGCGGGGTCATTCCATTCTGCTCGACATTGTTACGATACCCGGGTAAAAAAAAAAACCATGATACCTGGACAAAACGACGCTGCGTGTGTTTGCGCGTGCCTCGGGGGTTCGTTTCGCAAATCGTCCGTTGTCCCAGGCATACTGAAAAGCACGACCTTGGCGGCTCCAAGGAGACAACAACCGTATGAAGTCACGCTCTCGCTTTCACTGCCGTGCTGCCTCCTTCTCGAGGAGAGCAGGGGCGCGGGGTTGGCACGCTCTGCGTTTCTGACGAGCCGCGCTCGCGTTACGCCAATGACTCGGAACAACAAGGGGGAACGAACTGCCAGTGCCGAGACTCATTCGAAACCAGCGCACACGCGTGTCTGCACGAAGGACGGCATTAGTAGGTACACACATGCACACAATGAGTTGTTCACTTTGCATGAGCTAAGATTACTCTCGCTCTTTCTCTCGCTTCGTCTTTCCTGGTCTCCGGTTTCACCTTCTTGCCTTCCTGCTATTGCACGCCTCATTTGCGTTGCCCCTGTTTTTGTACCACTTTTTTTTTCTACGGTAGTTCAAATCCACCAGTTTTTGCGCAAAAGCGGCCGCATCAAAACGAACAAAAGGTGAGCGCACAAAGCTGGCACGCGTACAGGCATCGTAACAAAGTGGGCCCAGGTTGCGTTTCATTGTTGTTGAGTGGTTTGCCTGCCGGTCACGAGTAGCGCACAATGCTCGCCTGGATGGCGCGTCCGCCGCCGCCCTGAATGACGACGTCACTTCTGACGGGTTCACTGCGGTGCCTGTGTCACGTCTACCTCTGAGATCCATTAGACTTTCCAAAGAGGCTCGGAAATATGAGCCATTGCAGCTCGACAAGA